TAAGACTTTAAAAACCATTATTTGAGCACATTCTTTGTAAAATCATCTAATTTTAAACATATCAGTACTTAAAAAAATCCTCCCTTGCATGTTGGCCCAGTAATTAATTATACTTAGTGCTAGATCAAATCCACATTTTTAGTATGAATTCATCTACCTTCATTTACTTACTGCTTAATATTCCATGTCTGCTAAACTTAAAGCTCATTAGTAAGTATTTCCTTTCTAATGTTTAGGTCTTTACTAACTGAAATTAAGTCAATCTTCAACCATAGAGTTAATCCTGTTGAGCTCCTACACAGCCGCCTTCTGATTTTTCCAGTACTTTATTCCTATAGCTCTTCCCTGAGCCTTTTACAGTCTCTCTCAAACTAGAGTTTTCCAGGACTGGTTACACTCATGCAAACAGAAACAAGATACACACATTTTAACTGCATGTCAGTCTTTGATCAAACAACTTCCTTCAGCCAAGTACCAAGTATGGATGACTGTACGTGTAATGCATGTGCTTTCCCAGCTTTAATTCACTTTTTCCTCACTTTAGGTTCTGGACAGAACATGTGGTTATTTCCTCCCAGCTGAGTTGCTTCAAATCTGTGTTTTCCTGGCTGTATTTGGCACAGCAAGGCAGGCTGTTTTCACAGAATCACTAGGTTGGTAGAGACTTTCAAAACTGAGTCCAACCCATGCCCCAACAACTCAACTAGATCATGGCACCAAGTGCCACATTCAGTCTTTATCTGAACACATCCAGGGATGGGGACTCCACCACTTCTCTGGGCAGACCATTCCAGTAGTTTTATTACTCTTTATTACTCTTTCCATAAAAAACTTTTTCCTAATATCCAACCTATATTTCCCTTGATGCAGCTTAGGACTGTGTCTTCTCATTGCCTGGTGGAAGAGACCAACCCCCACCCGCCCACAGCCACCTCTCAGGGGGTTGTAGAGATTGGTAAGATCACCTCTGAGTCTCCTTTATTCCAGGCTAAACAACCCCAGCTCCCTCAGCTGTTCCTCACAGGGTTTGTGTTCCAAGACCCTCACCAGCCTTGTTGCCTCCTCTGGACACATTCAAGGGTCTCAACCTCCTTCCCAAACTGAGTGACCAGAACTGGACACAGCACCAGGTGGAGCCTCATCAGTGCCGAGTACAGGGGGAGAATGACTGTTCTACAGCAGTAACTGATGCAAACTTTTACTGGTTATCTGTTATCTCCAAACTCTTCGGCTTGTACCTCTGAAGGTCCCAATCCACTACCCTGGAGAAAGGCCAGGGTAGGAGGAGCTGGTTTGCTAAGCCTCAATAGTGTTTGTTTGCAACTCAATAAATTAAGAGATGTTGGCTGACATCACAATTTCTCTTGTTCATGTTACTCCTTACACTTCCATACTGTGAAGATTCTGAAACTCTATCCTTGTGCCAATATCTGGCCCTTCCCAAGAGCTAATCTGTCAGGAAGCCAGAAATCACTTCCCAGATAGCACCCTGTTTGCTAAAAGAAGCATGTCGTTCACTCTTGTCCCCTACCCCAGCATACACAGCCAAGGGCCCTCCTTACATAGACCTCCAGTCTCTGAAGCATTCACTTCCAGAGCCACAAATTACTAGAAAATATATGTTCAAGCCAAGATCTTTAATTCACAAAACAGGAACTCAAGGCAAAATTATTTCATTAGCTCTCCATTCTCAGTGCTTTTCAGACTCCTTGATTTGGCTTTGGAGAAAGATAAAACCAGTGAGTTATACACAGCACATAAAACATAGCTTATGTGGAAAAAATTCCAAAATGTGACTAACCAGACAAGGCTTAGGTTCATGGGGATGCTTAAAAGCCCCTTGTGACACAAACTGCATCGCATCTCTGCAGGGCAAGCTACACACTTTTGTCAAAGTACTTCCTGAGAAGCTCCCACTCAAGGACTGCCTGAAACTCCTGCAGCCAAATCCATTTAGGGGACAGGACAGTCACAAAGCTACTCCTAGGAACCCCTTCAAGCTGATGATGAAATGGCTGAAATGAAGTAATTTCTGACTGAAGGACACCAAGCATTCTCATAGGTAGGTGGGATCACAGAACATCCTGCACTGGATGGGTACTGAAGGGTTATTGAAGTCCAGCTTCTGGCCCTGCACAGGACTTTTAGTTAAGTTCCAGTAAATGTTTTTAACATTGTCACATAGAAACCTAGTAATCGTTGGGATGCTGAAAACTTAAAATTTCCACTGACTGAATAACAATAAGCATTAATCCATTCTTGATGGTTATTGCCACTGTGCTCTTCAGTAAACACTGACATTGGAGCATTTACATGTATTTAAATATTATCCTTCTTTCTTCCTCCTTCCCCCTCACCCCCATCTGGAAAGAATTATTCTGCAAGTCAAATGACAATCACTTGAGTCATACAAAACAACAAGAAACCAAGACTGTCAGTAGATTTATACCACATCCTTTAGGAGTTTAGTTTAGTTTCACATAGTGAAACATCTAATGGCTTTCATAATTTTCAACAGATAACTTGAAATTAGCCATACCACAAACAAAGCAGCAGATACACAATTTCAAATAATTCTTAACTGACTTTTTTTTCTGTGCTATGTAGAAACAGAGTATGCTATTTAAAGCATATTTAAACATTCAGCTATTTTTAGGGTTTTTCCCCGCTTGTGAGTACAGCATTATGCAAAGAATCAAGAGATAAGAGATTATCTTGTTCTAGAAGACATAGCACACTAGTCATACATGGTTGGCATTATTCTAGATGTAAATTTGGAACAATATTAAAATTTAATCTCCTTCTATGGTGTTTCATGCACAGTTTCCAAAACAAATAAATGAACCACTGCTTTTGTGTGTTGTCCCCACCACTTTTTTTTTTTTTTTAACTATAATTTTTATTTAAATAAGACACAGGAACTTCTATACCGAAAAAATTACAAAACAAAAGCCACACATTTCCTTGTGTAAAGCAATATTGTGTGATAACTCGAATACTGTTCAGCACAGTGGCTAGAAATAACAGTACAACTATGTACAAAACTTTAAACAATATTTGACAAATTTCTACAGCTGGATGTAGAATACAATTGAGATAAACAACTGCTGGGAAATTTACATGGCAAAGCATTAGCTTTAACACATTTGGTTCAAAACCTTCAATTCTGCTAAGAACAAATGTGCATTTTAATTAATATTTAGTTTCTCATGGAAAAAATATAAAGAACATGTAATGGCATTGCAAATATCGTACAGAGTTCAGCACTGATCTAAAAACCACTCATCATATCCCCTGGTAACCTACAATAACTGAGACTACAATTTCTTATCTGGACATAACCAGAGCATAAAAAGGTCATCATATTGCAATGTTAGTCTAGAAAGAAAAATATTAAAAGGAATTGATACTTACATCACGAATATTTTCTCCCCTTTATCTTCAGTCTATAAAATATATAGTGTTTTCACCTAGGCCTGAGATTAGTAGGGTAAAAGATGGCTGTTGTGTTTCAGGAAGCTTTTCACATGAAAATGGTTAGAGACAGACCTCTCTCCTACATTTTCTGCAAGGGGAGTCAAAAAACAGTGGATGCTTTATAGGTTGTGAATTCCACCTTGTAAGACAGCATTAACAAAAACTCAGTAATAAAAAGGAAGCAATGCTTTATCTCCAAAAAAAGCACGTATCTAGTGAGTAGTTACTGGTGGCTCACTCTCATCCCCCTCCAATCTCATCTTCAAAAGCAGAAAAAAACCATAAAAGAGCATGTTTCAATGCTCCTAGTAGCTGCAGGCTACTAATCTCTTCAATTCCTGGAAAAGGTGAACCTTATTCTCTTAGGAGCAGACAGCATAAACGTAGTTCCGCCGAGCTGAAAGCAATGGAGCAAGAACATCAAGTTTATTTTGCCTTTGGGGTCCTCTTTGTATCACAGGAAATTATCTCTGAAAGCAATGCTCCTCTTTTTCTAGTACAACAGAAGAGCACCACAAACCCAATCCTGCCATGTACTATTTTGAGAAAGTGTCCAGCCTGCAAAACCAGGATTATTTTACATGGATTTTTCTTTTATTCACACTTAAGGAGGGGGAAAAGCACACTTTTACACACACAGCTTACGTAACTGAAAGTTATGGGAGAAGCTTTAAGTAACATGAACTTAAAACTATTGTTTTCCCCACCCCTCTTAGAACACCCACTTGCTACTTCTGGACTTTCATCCAAACACAATTACTCACTACATAAATAAAACACTGCTCATCTAACACTGCTCAACAAAATCTGAAAATCTATTTCCAATCAGAAAATGAATGAACATTTCCAAAAGAGAAACTAAACATTAATTTGACTTTTAGACGGTAGCAGTAGCATTTCACATCCTTAATTGCCAACAAAAACCATGAGAGGAAATCCCCAATCACCACCCCACACCCCCCCCCCCCCCCAAAACCTGAAAGAATTTCTGTCCTTTAACAAAAACATTTTTGTCTTTCAAAATCCTCTCACACACAACGTGGAATGTTTCTCATGTACAGCCTAGTACTGAACACTTTATTTGCAACAGTTTAACAGTCATTAACTGAGCAACACCTGAAACCTTTAAATGCCACAATTTTACATCTATTGAAATGACAGTAAATGCAACAGTTGTTTTACTTGTAAGCACATGACAAAGTGATATACATCACAGATTTGCTGGTTCTCCTCATGTTCACCCATGTCCAGGGTCATCATTCACCTGGATCTGAATGCACTTATTCCAAGAAAGTGGAATGTAATGAGGAAATATAATGCATAAAACAAAGAAAGGCAAAAGAGTGATGTTCCCTCTTTAGCTTTGTAGCTGTAAAATATTTTATATTCCAATATGATATACATTCCAAGTTACCTGAGTTTACACTTCAAGAGAAGTACCTGAAGCTAGGCCATAGGGTGGGCACTGTGCAACTGCTGTGGCCATTTTTTTTTTTTTTTTTTTTTTTTTTTTTTTTTTTTTTTTTTTTTTTTTTTTTTGCATTGTGTGTATTACAGAAGTTAGAAACATAAACACCTGGATCAATTGTAAACATAATCCTGAAGTACAGTATTTTCCATAGGACACAACACAGCAAGACATTTTCTATTCAGACAGGCAAGATTTTTTTATATATATTGAGAGAGCTTATTTATACTGTAGAATTTGAAACAGAACACAGGACACAGTACTAATCGGGTCAAACGTACTATGAAATGCATAGTCTCCACTTAAAACGCTTAATGTAATATGGACTCTGCAGGCATTACTGCTTTCTCACAAAAAAATGCTGAATATGGATTCTGTCCCTGCCAAGAACAGTGTTGAGATTTTTTTTTGAATGCTGCTAAGTATTCTGTGGTGTTCTGAAAGGTTGCCACCTCATGCAGATGTATCTGAACCAGGATCTCCTCACTCCTTGTCTCGGGGCAGAGGCCTGCTCCACCTTGCTCTAGATTAACACGTAGCTCTGAGGAGAGGAATGGTCTTCAGTCTGAATTTCCTGCAAAAGCGGCTGCTGCTGCTGGGACGGTTGCTGTACCGGGATCTCTGGGGAGTCCATTGTGCTGGTGTCATCTGACAGAGATGAGAAAGAGACCCGAGACGAAAGCTGCTCAACAGTCAGGGTGCTCAAACCTGTGCTTTGACCAGAGTTTGGAGAGTTCTTCAGCGTCAGGTCTGAAGCAGGAAGGAGGGGGCCCAGAAGTTTTACAGGACAGAAAGCTGATCCGGTTGGGATGAAATTAACCTTGTTTTTGTCAGGACATGAAAAGAGAGGGGCTGAGACAGGCTGACGAGACCTACAACGAGAAAAAAGATTATGTATCTGGCCAGCTGAGATGTTTTTCACATCATGAGCTTTGTGGTTCTATACATTGCTAAAATGTGAATGACAAGGAATGGGATTAATTGGACAGAGGGGCAAACATCTTCCATATTGGTAGTCAGCTAACTGATCCACAGCATTAAAAATAGTACCATCACAAAAAATGACTTGGTAATTACTGGACAAACATGCACCTTCCAGCACGAAAAATCTGTAGTACATATGCACATGAGAAAATGCCATGGTTAATTTAGAGTGGCACAAATTCTTCTTTGATAAGCGATGCAGCAACAATATATTTAGTCATTTTAAATTCCTTTCAGGACCTCCATAAAACAGACCTCTCATTTCCCATATTCCATAATTTGTCTGGAGGCTTTTTCCACAACCCAACATTTCTCCCTTTACCACCCAGCAGGCAATGAATGCTGAGCAAGAAATGTCCCCTCCTTAATTCTTTCATCCACAGGAGCTTAGCATGCAACCTCAACGGCATGTGCTGTGCTCAAATACTGCTGGGTCTAGAGGAAAAAGACGTGATGTCCAAGAGTTTAAATTCCAATTTCTTGCTCAGTAAAAATATTGAGCAAAATCTATGCCATAAGCATACTACTATCTACGAACACTTCACATGTTTCATTCCATCTTCTGTGTTTTATACACATCAAAATGCAACCTATGCTTGAAACTGATAATTATGACAAGGGGAGTTTTTGCTTAAGCCATGAAAACTTAAAATGTTAAAAAAATACATGGAAAGAAGTTTATATAAATGCTTAGGAAATTAATGTACCTTATCTTTCCTGCTTGGATTTTTGTTGCCTTTCATAAATGCACAAAGAGGTAAAAGACTCCATTTTCTCTTCACACCAATATAAACACTTGAACTTCTCTTCTGCACAAACTATAAGAATAGTTTGCTCCTGAAAAACCCATCAGCTGGAATAGTTTATTCATCTGCAGTTGAATAGGCTCAGTAAACAGGTTTACTGCTTTGCAGATACCAGCTGATATAAAAGGCATTACTTACGACATTTCCTCAAAGACCTTCACTCGCTCACATCCCTCTGGGGGCTCTCGTTTGAACATGTAGCTGTTGTTTGGTTTGGGAGATGAGGCATACTTGGGCAACGGTGAGCTACTCCCACTGTCTGAAAATTTAAAGCAGTTATATTACTAGAGATTGAGAGTGCTTTTTAATTAAATTCGATTTCCAAACAAGATGCCTTTTTTCACAATTTAGCCACTACGCTGGTTTGCTTCTACCACAACGCTTCCTTTATTGCAGGCTACTTCTAACACCCTTGTATAGCACATTTCTTCTGAGTAACAGCTTCGGTGCAGCAGCAATCTATTGTATAACAACACGTAACAGGAGGATATTTTTATCCAGAACACTGCAATTGGAACAAAGCAGAGCTGTGATCCTGGAAACAAATACATTCTTTATTACATAGTTCAAAAAACATAAATGAACAAGGTAATATGCATAATACATGCAGAAGAATTATGAGTGGTAATGATAAAACACCTTCTCACTGTATAAACAGTGTTATTAAAGATGTGTGTATACAGCTTGTATCTTATTTTAAAACATTATTCTTCACTGGAATATTGACCTCATTAGTCTCACAAACAGCTCAGAAGTTGCAATGAAATAAATCACATCTGTAACACAGGTACTGCTACCTCATCATTGCAATGTCTTGTCTTGCTTCACAGTTGTGTTTTTAGTATTTAGTATGTCATTTTAGTATCTAGAATGAAACTTCTACAGTTTAATTTTCTCATCACTACTGGCTATATGATACAGATATTCTTCATAACTCCAGACACACTTAGAATTAAAGGTGTGAAGATCTAGGACAAAAGGCAATAGGCAGATTTATTTGTTCTTCTCAGGAATTATGAGAGAAGGCTCAAGTCTGGTAATGACAGAAGCACAGAAGTTTGAAATATTAATACTATGAAAAGGTTAACTTTAAACAGTCATGCTGACAACATGATAGTAAATGCATTAAGGAAATAAAGCAGGTACAGAAATAGTTATTCACAGACAATTAGCTTTCTGCAGTGGCTTCTATCTTTTCAAAGAGCAACAACTCTCCCAGGGTAGTATTACTGGTTCCCTATTCCCTGTTTAGGATTACAATTAAAAAATGAAATAGCAAAATTAACAAGGACCCACCAACTTAGAAATGCACCTTAACTGGAGAGAAATACCTGCTCTTGCTTCAGCTCTTTTGAAGTCTTTCCACTAATGTGGGGTACATTATTTTAAACTCAAGTTTATAATCTTTGTTTACTTTCCTATTGTGCATGTGTGTTGCCTTTTCAGCTACCCAAGCTTCAAGCACTATGATCTAACCTCACCAAAGTGGACAGATTTGTCTTTAACAGCTTGCAAAGACACAAAAACTATTATATTATCATGACTCAAGTACAAAGGCTAATCATTAGATGTTTTGAAACATCTCTGCTTCCTCTTACAACAAGAAACAAATCAACTCAAATGTCACACTTCCCTTTGAAGATTTATTATGAAAGATATGAGATTAAAAGAAAAGTTGAAGTGAACCTCAGTAGCACATTGATTATTCAGCTCTTTCCTGCTGTACAGTGAATACAGAACTTCTATTTACAGAAATTTTGGTGTTAGCTACGAAGGCAGAAAATGCTTAGAGACGATACAGATATTTGCCAAGTTGGGAGCATGATGGTCCTGCTGGCATGTTTCCACTGTTGGCACACACCACTCATTCCAAACACAGAAATCATTAACAGAACCCAGACAGTTTGTTTCCTCTTTCTAATATTTAAAACTGAAGATCCAAGTTTCTATTTAAGAAAGAGACATAAAATATACTACTGTTCATTCCACCAAATAGTGGAAAAACATGGCAGTACATCCAACGGAAGAATCAAACAGAATTCAAAGTCAGTTCTTGGAAGATTTAAGAGTCTTGTCTACTAGCCAGTTCAGCTTTCAATCAAGTTTTTTGGTTTAGTTAGCCCTGCCTGGCTGAAACTTTCTACATAAGACAGCTGCTGAACAAGTATCTCTCTCTACCCTCCCTTCTTTTAAAGCTTACGAAGTTGTTAGATTTTCATTTTGACCAAACACACAGCACACACTATTTGAAGAACACGTGTGGTTGTGAGATTCGCACATACAAGCCGGGTTTTGGGCGAAGGGACTGGGAACACAGGCCATGAGTTAAAGTGGCAAGAGGTGGAATTCACAGCTTAAGCCAGTTTCCACTGGTGCATCCTGTAAGCTGTGCAGTGCTAAACTATCCTGTCGTTAGTCCCTGACGACACAGCAAACCCATGTGTGCTCTCCAGGGGTTTGACGTGCGCCTCTGCCGCCCTCTGAGGCCCCCGAGCCCTCACGTCCCACCAGCAAGGGGTGCCCTGTGGCACGTCCCAGCCCACCCATCCCATTCCATCCCACTGACAGTGACTGATCATGGAATCTTTAAAGGGAGTTTTGCTGCCACAAATGCACAGCAGACAATATGGAGCCTTACCACATCAACTTCTGGACATGTATTAAAACACAGATACTCTGTTATCTAGAAAACACTTTAAGCTTGTCATTAAACCACAAAAAATACTATTTTAACTTTAATACCAGAACTTATGGCTTGCACATATTAGAACAAAAGAGGCTAACTAAAAAACAATCCATGAAACAGTTTTTTGAGTGACTATACTTAAACAAGAAACTGCCAGTGAGCCTTGGGATTACTTTTGATAGGTTCAAAAATAACTAATAAGACTATCCAAAGACTTCACTAACAACTTTCCTTTAAAGAATCAGATGCCCAGAATTTAACAAGCATGTAAGAGCCTGCTAGCAACAGTGGGACTACTAAATGCTGTGTAAATGCACCTAATAAAAATCCCTGAAGAACAGGGTATACAATCTGTATTTGTAGAAAGAAACTCCTCCGAGATTTCATCTGCTTATACCTTCAGATGCCTTTGAATTTCACCTCAGTCACAGCTGCTGAGGATGCTATGGAGGCTACTGAATTACAGTTTCATGGACCAGAGTATCACAAAACAGATCTAGGGAAACCAGTAGTTTTAATACAAAATCATAAAGCCAGGCGCCATGAAAATACGTTCTTTCCCAACTCTTCCTTGTCTGCTCTAACCAATACTGTGTAGTATCACTGCTCTGTTCAGAGCAATATTGTGGGTCTTTTCTGAAAATTATCTTTCACATGCATTTGAAAAATTCAATTATTTAACAGCTTCTTGCAGAAAGGTAAACCCAACAGTTGATGGAGTCCAAAGGGCAGTTGGGAGGGCCTCAGGCCAAAGCACAGCTTTGCACCAAAAGCAAAAGATGCTTTACAAACATAAAGCAGTGCTGTGTCTGTACAGAGCATTGGCTCCTCTCACTGCTTATGTCTCTCAGTCAAACTAACCTTCCTTTACTATTCAGCAACACACCCCACAACCATTAATAACACTGATAACTCCACTTTATAATGGTAAAGCCAAGTTATTTCCATCAAGAGGAAAATTAAACCTTTAGAAAAGTCACAAGAAAACATCATCAAAACATCTACATTTGGTTACAGAATGCATATTTCCAAACTTCAAAGGCCTCACAAAAAAATGACGTTGGTTTTATTCTAGCTCACAAAAGCCTTTAAAAGGAAGGCGTGAAAACCTTCCCAAGTTTTTATTGTGTAGAGCAATCGAAAGCCACAACAAATGTAATAAACTGTCCCTAAAACTTGCTATTATGTTGTAATTTCTGCCTATATCCCTCATTTATCTATAATTAAATTATTTTGAAGTAACATTCAGAACAATGTTCTGGCTTTGTAGTACCTAGATGATATGAGAGCAAAAAGCAACCTTCTGACTATACTTTTATAAACTCCGAACAAGTTACTTTCTCTCAGAAAACTACTACATGTTTTCCTACTTTTCACCTTGCCCTTGAAGAATTAAGTTGTGATGAGAAGTTCAAGCTTTTATCTTTCCTATGCACAGTATTATATATCTTAAACTAAATTTTTAAATGCCATTATTATGGTTTAAAAAACTGTTTATCATCATTGCCTACACACTTCTCCTGGAGAAGACTTCTGATACAAGCCTAGCATTAAATCCAGTCCTAAAACCAAAATCCACAAATAAGTATCTACTCATAAATTTCACTCCAGTCAGCTGTTCAAAAAATCCAAGGGAGGAGATAAAAAGCCTTGGAAAGCATTACAAAGGCTAGATGCACTATTTCAAACTGTCTTCACTTGCTACTGCCAGTAAAGTCCCATTATTGTGATAACAGAGTACTGACTGCAAAAAGAATTATTAATTTCCTTGCTTTTTAACTTGTATTTGTTATCAGGACATATATAAACCAATTTACCTGTCAAGATATTTTTTTGCATTCTAATACTTTAGTAGATGTTTCTACAGTGATTAAGTCTTGACAACATATTAAAATTCATATGCATAGTATAAGAAAGAGGAGTATGGTGGGGGCAAGCTAATACCACTGTTATTTTTGGAGCATAGCCAAGTATTACATTGAGCTAAGACTTTTACTTTAATGTGGTTAACTTACACACTTGCACACACCCACCCCCAGCTTAGGATTTGGGCAGATGGATTTGTTTTCCACTCTTTCCTTTTAAATCCAAGATGGGGAAAAATACTTTCCAGGCAACAAGAAAAGCTAGTATTTCTCCTGCACACTTTCCCAATCCTATTCCCAAATTACTTTAACTATTAATAAACAGATAGTATTTACAAAAAAACACTTAACCTTACTTATATCCACAAAACACTATTATCTTTAGCTCACTGGTAAATATATGCTAAATCTTAGAAATCTTAATTTCCTCTGTGAAACTGACTCCTCTTGGCTTGCATGATTTACCCAAATCCTACATCCTCCATACTGAAGTCCATGTTTCAGCCAGCTGACCAGAAGCACAAGGGCGGTTTTATTACTAAACAGTTTAAAAAAAAAACAGTCTTTTTTACAATGGTGTTTATAGTCTTGTACTCCATAGTATGTCAGTAACTCTGAATTACTGAAACTCCAGTTGTACTCCCACTACAAAACTAAACAACATTTTACAGACTTTGAAAAAAATGCAGGATATTGATAAATGCATAAATTATTTAGAACTGTTGAGCTGTTATGCAGCATACACAGAGAAGTAATTACCCTCCACTAGGTTGTTCGAACAGGTAACTGAGCTTCTCACCAAATAGCTTCAAGTGGAATGTAAGAGTTCAGAAGCAGAGCTCTTAGCAGTCCAAAACTTCATCACCATTTTGAACAGCAAGCAACCCACCTACGATAGAGTCCACCACAAACCTTCCTGAAACCTTTCTTAAAATGTAAACATGTTACAGTCTGAATTCTTCACATTAGAATCTTCATAAATAGTTAACTCTTTGCTGTGCTCCTCTGACGTATTTATGGAAGATGTTTGTGAAGTTTCACAAACAAGAGGGAAAAAGATATGTAAACAAACAAAACCAATTTTCAGATAAATCCTCAATCCCTCCACAGCCATCAAACAAAAACAAAAATTGATGTAATGAGTAAAATGAAGGTAGTTGTAAAAGCATGACATCACATGCCTCCCATAGGTAAAGGCAGGCCACTCTACTCTCACCTTTATCACGGTCATAGAGCAAATCTTCTGTTGAACAGGGGCTCCCATCCTGAGATTCAGGAGGGCAAAAGGGAGAGACACATGGTGAGTGACTGCTGCAGCTGCTGCTGCGCTCCTGGACAGACGGAGTCTGAGTGTCAATGCTTCGGGTACTACTACTACGATAGTGAGCAGGTAAGGGTGCCCTTCGACCGTCAGGGATATCCAGAGGCTGCAAGAGAAACAAGCAATTCCTGTTACAGAGAAAAGATCAAACTCACAAGCAATGTCAGCCTGTAGCAATCATAAGCAAAGGCCTTAAAAAGAACAAACTTGGCATTTTTGAAAGAACAGGAAAATCTCACACAAGAAAATAATGCAGTGTACAATGGATACAGCATACATTAATTACACGGAGTACTGGGGCAATGTGCCCCAATGCAAAGTTAACATCCACACTTTAACACATGCCAGTGTTATGTTTTTATGGTTTTTGCAATAGTTTAAAAAAGCAAACTTCCCTCACTAATTATATTTAGTACAATTTTCAATAAAGGTCACTGCTATTATAAAACAAAAACAAGTACCCCGACAGAGATCACATTTGGATAAAAGCGAAAGTAGAAAATGTCAAATACAATGGCATACTATTGCCATAACAACCAACTGAATTACAATTATAAAAGGAAACCATCCAGGTTTTGCCAGTAAGTTGCAATTCTCCAGCGCACCCCTACATTCCATCCTTCCATAGATGATGCACACAGAGGCTTGTAACAAGGCTCACAAGCTTTGTCTTGGGCCAAAGTTAGTAAGCTCCGCTTGCCCGTGTCACCCTAGCTGGCACTGGCCAGGGTGATCCTGTATCCCATTCTGCAACATACTGCATAGACGTGTTCACAGCAGTAGATTGGCACGCTCTATTTACTTGTCCTTCCCAATGGAAAAGTAGGTTTTTTAATAAAGACAGTGCTGCTTTAAATGTAAGAAATCAAGTGGGAACTGGAGTCTTGCTTAGAAGCGAAGGGGAAAAAATGTCAGCAAGATTTAAACAATTTTTATTCTCACTTCAACGAGAACTGCATCCAAACCACAGAGAACAGCTTAAATGTTCTAGCTACAAAAAATTAATGTCTTTTTCCTTCTCACTTCAAGCGAACATTTTTATTTTATTGCCTCTCTTCCGCATATATTCCAAAACTGTAACAGCTTGTTCCAGAGCCTAAAATTCAACCCAACGCTTTTGCTAGCAACGAGGACATGACACCTAATGGCTGAGTATCACATTCTCCCCTTTTCAGCAACAGTCTATCCAGAAAACCACCACACATTACACAAAGAGGCAGACATAGCAGAGCAGGAAGATAATTTTCTTCTTATGAGCCTTCCAGTTAATACCATTTCATATTTCAAATAAGAGCAAAGAAACACACTATAAAGAGAACATTACAGTTGCTCCATGAAATGCTGTAAGGTTTGGGCACAACTGTGTGGTCTGTTCCAACAGCTCAGTTCACATTGTCTTTGTGTTACAACATGACTTGGTGTTCTATTCCCATCACCTCCAACAGGCCCTGACTCATTCAGTGCACAAGGCAGACCTGCAGCATTGTAGCATTTGTTACACAGACAGAAGAGAGAAAACAAGACTGAAGCTGTAGAAAGAAAGCAGTCTCATAATTATCATAATCAAACCAATAAAGAAAAAAAACCAAACACCCCACAAAAAAAAAGAACAACCAAACCCCCATCAAAAAAAAATGCCATGCAAAACAGCATTTTTATTTCCCTCTCTGCCACAAAAATTCTGTGAGACGTCAGGGGATCAACTGAACCAACCTCTGTCCTTTATAGAATCTCCTCTTGATGCCCAGTTTATACAGGTCTGATTTGCAAAAGTCCTCTGCAATAACAGATGCAGAAAGACTACAGGAGATGCATTCTAAACTCCTAAAATGGAATGCAGTATCTTGAGTTACCTGAAGAACTAAGCTACAGAACCCTGATGGATTTGTGTTTCCCCATCCACAAATTGTAAATAGTATCTTTCTTCTCACATAACTGTGATGCAAAGTGAACAAAATTTCAGACACAATCCTATTATAAAAGAGTAAAATCTCAGGAAAAAAATCATATTTCTAACTTCAATGCAAAGTGTAACAGTAAGCATAAGGACACAAAGGAGGAGAAAAGAAAAACACCAAACAGCTGCTCATTAAGGGCATACACCATGGGCTACATAACAGGCAAAACAAGGATTCCAGGGAGGGGAAAAAAAAAGCAGTAAGTGATCACATAATTAAAGACTCCAGGATAACACAGATGTTCTTCCACACCTGGAGGAACACTGTAGTATCAGACAGTCAGGAAGTATATCCCACATGACATATTTCAACTCCCCTGAACTAAAGCCTGAGGTACAAAAGTAATCCATATTTTTAGACACATATCTAAATACACACACAAGCAGGAAAAGCTAAATATTTATCATTCTCTACAAGTGCAGTAACATTTAAGGCATAGAAAATGCCAGTTAGTATCTCAGATTACTGTGCTTTTGTATTTGTCTTTCCCTCAGTGCTGACAAACTGCAAAATTCCCATGAAAATATCAACTAGAAGTATTTAACTTGTTAAAAACTTTATGTCTCAAACCTGACCAATGTAAAAAAATCACTTTTGAAGTTACTTTCCATGAGTCATGTCTGAACTATTCCAAAACTGAAGTTCTCACAACCTTACAAGATAAGAGATAGGGTAACTAATTTGGTACACCTATTAGTTTCCATAATGCCCAGTGCATGCAAAACAACTAGAAATTACTGCATTCTATATGCTATTTCTTGAGTTTTTTCAAGTAGGTCCAGTCATGTATTAACCCTATGCCAAACACATTCTGACAGGACACTTGTCCATCCCTATGGGATGTGTGTTCTTGGACACAGTTATATGCTGCTCTAATCTCCCAGCAAAGGTATGAAAATGCTCCATTTGACGACAAGAATGCATTTCTTTAATAGACTGTTAACATCCACCAATCTGTTTTCAGCATCAATCTTTTTTTGCTGGGAAAAAAACCCAACAAACTCTACTTAGAATCAGGAATGCTACCAGTCTATAATAATATTATCAATGGGAGTGTCCTCACAAGCTGTACATCTGTATGGGAGGAAACTTCTTGAGAGCAAAAGCATTTGAATGCTATTGATTTAAAAACTTTACCCTGGACTGGAACACAAAGGCCAGTGTAGGAAAGTGCTTCTTCCTGTTGGCATCAATGAAGCCATCAATGCATAGGATAAGGTGCAAGTGCAAAACCCACAAGGTATCATAGGAAGGAACACTTGGGAAAAAAACAGTTTACAGAAGAAGGCTATGAAGATTTAAGTAATGATCCTCTGCACCTGTGCAAAATAAGTCATTTTACTACAGGATTAGGTTTCCAGAGAGGTACATAAAACCACCTTGCCATCTCCTTCCAGAAGTATTAGAAATCAAACAAGGAGCACAGTAATCAGTTTACTTATGCTGTGTGATAGTCCATCAAAATTTCTGTATTTCTAATTACTTCTGTATACTTGATAGTTCCAGTAGAAAGTTTTTCCTAACAGGAGGCCTACGAACGTGTCTGTGCTCTGCTACAGGGCACTTTTCATGACTTCCACTATTGTATGCCGTAAGAGGGAACACCTCTTATCCTCTAATCCCTACAAAAAGTCCATCATCTTACTGTACCTCAGTCACCAATGGTTGTTACGGAATCACAACAGGACAAAGAACAAAAGCCTGCAACAACTTCACAAAAAGCTGATTTCACCTTACAAGTTATGGTGAGAACAGAGACACACCATCACACCTTGTCAGAGTTAAATCAGCAAGTTATAAAAGAAGGAAGGAAGGAAAATATATCCAAGAATTTTGAATAGATGCATTAGAACATGAATTAAAAGTTTATTAATAAATTTGAATAGAAAGAGGGGATTAAGAAGTGACTCAAAAAGGACAAGTTAGCTTTATGAAAGCAAAAACAAAACACCTTCAGGTAATTAAGCAAGATGAATTTTTTGTAAAAGTACAGCTATGGCTAAACTGCAAAGAATGAATATTAATGAATGAATTTTAAATATTTTGACTACTATGCAATCTCTGTAAACTTTACAGTCAATTGGATTTTTAAAAGATAATGACACAAAGACATTCCTAATCCTCAGTTATCTTTATGAAACACAAAAAATAACGTGACAATACACAAGTGGTTTGGGTTTATTTCTTTCATTACTAAAATTTTAATCATCATTAGGATGTTAAAACAAGATTAAAAAAAAATTCAAATAAGTAACAGAACTAAATCAGCATGAATTAAGATAGAAGACATATTCTAAAGCAACAAACTATCTTTGCTGTGCTTTTAAAATAGTTTCTAAAATACAAAATGTTACAGCAAGAAAGAATGGCAGAAAACGGAAAGAAAAACAAACAGGTTCACTAGCAGTGGAACCAGCGAAGTTTGATTTCCTCTGTATAATCTTTTGTTCAGTAATTCCTAGCCTTTAACCTAGCTTCCCCCACTTCCCCAGGCTAAAACACAGCTAAATAGTTGTATTAGGAGAAAGTTCATCTGCAGTGAGACTGAGTAAATTATCATCTTGTTCTGATCCTCCATAAGCAAACTAAGACTTTGTATTCTCAAAGAGAGCGCTAGGAGTCCCACTCCAGGTCCCACAAGACCAGACGTAACAGAAATTAACAGTTACATAGCAGGAAACAATCCTCTGCCCACAAAGATGGACTTGACTTCAAGGGCAATGTCTGATTTATGACTTTCTTTTGTGTCTGAAGCTCTTGCCAGCTGAATGTTTGCAGGAAGGGTTCACTATTGCCTTGGTTGCGTAAACTGACGAGCACCTCTGGCCCAAATCCAACAATGCACTTAAGTATGTGCTTAACTGTTTTGCTGGATCAGTGTCAGTACATTCAGTAACACAGGGGAGCTCTGCATCCCAAGCAATAAGCTGTTAAAACCCAAGGACAACATTTACAAGGATGATTTTTCTGATAGATAAATGAAATATCCTTCAACTAGAGAAGATTACAACTCTAGCCATAGCAACATCAGTGGTGCCACTACAACACACACTTCTTTGTACTGTCTTTTGGAGATGCTGCAATACGGCTTATTGAGCTGGGCTTTCAGTTTGCATGTTTCTTTGTTTTCTTTTCCTTATTCCCCTGGTACAATACACACCTCTTCCAAAGGGATAAGAAAACTTAGCATAAAACTACTATGACAGTATTTCATTCTTAAGACTGTTTTGTCCACACAACTAGGTGTCTGGAGAAGCCAAGACTACCCCAAAACTTTTTAAGTTTACTACTGATACAAAGAACTGCAAATAAAAGGTTTCAGAATCCTAAACCTCTGATGGAAGTTTTATACCTTGACTCATATACTGAATTGCTATTACATAACCATTCATGAGAAAAGTACCTGCATCTTGGAGAAGATTAGAAAAAACCCTGGAGTACTTTATTCCACAGCAGAAAATTTTCACTGGCTATTTAGAAACAGTGGCTGAAAACTACGTATTTCATATTTTAAGCGTCATCTAAGCACTCAAGTCTTCAATGAAAAGTCCAATGCTCCAAAGCAAAGCTGCCCCATTTGGCAGTATTTCCCATACAGAGATCTCCCATGACAGATCACAGAGGTTTGGTGGCAGTAAAATGGTCCACATTCATTGTATGGAAAAAAAACCATTACAACCAAAAAAGAGCATAGCATTGGGAACTTCCATCTTGCTCAAGAAAAAGAGTGCAAAATGAAGCAAATATAACAATCTCCCATCTCTAATTACTTATTAATGCAGCCTGAAGCATCTGAATGTTCTAACACTTGTATTTCTCACAAAAACTTTCACGTTCTCTACAGAAAGGGCACTCTAAACAAAGTAGGTTTGGCCAGAAGCCCTTTAAAAATAAAAAAGAAAAACAAAAAAACCTCCACCATGCTAAAACACTGAAAAAAGGTTTTCAAACAGTTCTTTGAAGAAAATTATTTGTAATTTCAGCCACAAGGGAGGTTCCTCAAGAGGAAGGTTTTCCTTATGTTTATAGATTACAAAGAGATAACAACCATAAACATGTTACTGTATGCTTACCTTGGAAACTTCTTCTTTTCCACTGTTCTCCTTAATGAATACTTTTTCCAGTTCAGGGCTTATTCCTTCTACATTACACGGCACACGTGAAGCAGTTGATTTTGGCACTGAAATGTTTGACAGTGGCATAGGGACAGATCTGGAAATGCAAGCCTAGAAGGTAGACAGCAACATGATTTAAAGATGGAAAACAGAATAAAGGCAGAGGTCTGAGACCAAAACTAAAAACATTACTAAGTAAGAAGCTGTGTATTAATTTTGCCATCTAGAAGAGATTTTTTACTTAGTGAATTTAAATAAAAATAAATGCATACATAAATCAAAAGCCAAAAAAATCATCTCCACTTAACTCAAAGAAGAGTTGTATAACCAAATCATTCTATGACTTTGCTTGGTAGTAAGTAGACAGGTGTATGTACTTTCCAGAGGCACAAACTACAGTTTAGACCACAGGGGGAATGGGGAGTACATGGGGCCCTGATGCTCATGTTTTAACTGGGATCAAAAAGGCATTTCATTACATTCCTAAAGCTTAATGACTCAACTGAAATATTCACTCAATGCACTTTTACTCTCTTTTGGTTGGCTTTAGCAAATGAAAAATAAAACATTCATTCTGAACCCTTAATTTCATTAGCTTATAGCTTTTCAGAACTTTATGCCAAAGGTCTTAAGATAAATCATCTTGAGTTTAAGAAACAAGTGTGTAAATGAGTACAAATATGATTTTCAGAAAAGCCTGTTGAGTGGAGCTCTGTCACCAACAGGAAACGTTCAGAAGAGTGCACACAAATCTTGCACTGTCAACCTTAAAAGCTTCACCTTGGCAGCAGCTACACTGACAGCCATTAAGTGCTCACATGTCAATCAGTGTGCTCTGCTCACAGAATAACAGGATGCTTAAGACAAAATGTAAACTTTTTTTTTTGAATCCTTATCAAGGGAATCTTGCAGATTGTGCAGCTCCCAAGGTGCAAGTGATTTGCCTGCAAGCATTCTCTGACTGCCAAAACATACTGCCTGCAAAATGGCTTTATCAGAGAACATCTTCCTGAGAAACCAAAATGTTACATGAGCAATGACAAGGTGAGCTCCAAGCACTAAAGAGTGTTTCCTCACAGCAAATGTCCTATGTGGGTTTCAATCTATGCCAAAGACTGTCTTCTATGTGACTATAATGGCACAGGTACTTGCAACAGCCTACTTTGAGATGTAAAGCAAAACCCTTTTCTATGCAAAATGTAGTAGGATGCTTTGTTATAAACGCTAACAGGTTCAGGAAGAGCACCAAATTCCTACTGTCCTTGTGCATTAGGTTATGACCACATGGTTTTATCCCCACAGAAGGAATGTAAGGAATCAGCCATCACAGCTCAACAGCCACTGTAACTAGCTGCTATAGAACACCAGAAAGCCAAAAATGTACTTGGGAATTACTGGGACAGAACCAACATTTCAGATGTTTCAAGACTGAACTTTTGGTAACAGGGAATCCAAGTTAAGGATCTACTACTATAGGTAAAATATAATCAGGACTCAAATATCTACACTCACAAATAAGCCATGGTTAAATGCCTTCTACAAGTGCCTTAAGATTTATGAAGATACTGGCTGAACCTCACCTGAGCTTTAGAACTGTAACTGTGTTTCAATTTTGCTGACAGGTTTTAATGACTAGATCATGACTGATTTGGGCATCATCCACTGCACCTTTATTTTCTATTTCTCTGTTTTTATTTTTTAATTAGGTTTCAAAACTGATAAGCACATATCTTCCAGAGGAGCTTTTGAAAGTTTACCACAAAAAATTAGTCTTGGAAGCAAGTATGCATTCCTAGAAGCACAGCCTTATTTGGCCATGCCCACAACTTTTACAGCATCATCATACATTTAGTTGCTATCCTGGTGCAACCCTTCTTTTATTATATGACGACCATCAGATAAACTCCAGTGAAGGTACAGCAGTGTCAGACTGTTAAGCATTTCAGTGTACCACACAAGAGAACAAACACAAGAGAGATGGGAAGGCTCAGCAGGCTATTCAGCCAACCCAGATAAGGTGGGAGGCTGTTAATACAAGGAACTACCCACTTACCTGAGTCTGACTGATTGCTATATGGTTGCCATGGAGAGGTGACTGACGTTCCTTCTCTTTGTTGTGACGACTGCTCTGCTTACTGCGCTGAAGCTGCTGCCTCAGTTTGGCAATCTGCTGGAGAGAAGTTCAGGTGAAGCGAGAATGAGTTATCATAACTGTTCAAATCTTCACACAAAGTGAATCATGGATATTTTTATCCTCTCTGGAGGATTTTACAGGCATATGGGAATACTTTTCCTTGAAGTATGAGCATTAAAGCCTCTTTCTGCTTATCAAGTACTTACTCCAAAGTATCTGCCCTATTCACCAACCTGAATATGACAACAGGCTAAGTTTATTTACTGAATTTCCTCAGTTACACACAAGCACTGTAATATCTGATGCAAATAAAAGTAGTCAGAATGACAATTTGTAGCATCTTCTAACCTATAACTGGTTTAAACTGGGGGCTTTGAAGCCTACAGTTTAATTTGTTTGATCTTAAACCTGAACAAAACCTTTTAGTGATAATTCATCATAAAAGTAAAGAACCTTCACAAACAACTGGCATTCAAAATGCACTGTTCATTTCAAAATCCTTATTTAATACATTTAATAGCACTTCCTCGCAGGCAAAATTATCACAGATTCCTTCAGGCAGATGGAATTATCTTTCCTGCTGTCTGCTGCAAAGATGTCTAATCAAAAGTTACATATTTTAAATGTCAAATGCAACTAAAGCCATTATCCATCTGACCTGCTCCTTAACAAGAAACCAGAGAATTTCATTTCAGGATTCCTCTACTTATTCATTCCTCCTGGGAAACTTCTACATGAAAGAGAGTACTTACCTCTATAAACATTGTCTCAGAAGTTTAGACTATGTGCAAATTCACACAACAGGTACAGACACTACCTTAAAACTGGATAATTTGTTCCCTTAGGCTCAAATCCCACTGGAATATAAGGCCATGCACGGCCCCATTTCATTTTTAACTCAGCTAGAGATACAATTTTTAAAAACCTGAAGGGTAAGTAAGGAGAATGAATGCACATGGAATTCATACATCAGCTGGAAACTAACCTCTGAGTGACAACTTACAAGTACATGCACTCTGGTTATTTCCAAGAAGTTAAATATATCACTGGTACTCTTGCAAAGCAACTCTGTGGCAGAGAATCACTTCACATCACTCTTCACAGTGTCAGAGATGACAGTGCTTTGTGAAGAGGATTGCATAGAGCTCTGCTGCAGGCTGTGAACTCTTTGTGCTGTTTCTGGTAGCACTCACAGAAGAACAATCTATCTTTAAGGCTTCATATAAAGTTCTGCCACAGCTCGTTACCCATACTTGGAGAACTGCTACTCAGAAATGGCTGAATACTTTTATCTTTAAACAACAGACAAACAGCTCAACATTTCCAAAAGGGTCTGTATGTTGAATATATCCAGAAGAACAGAGCCATAATACAACTGCATTACTTACACAGATGAGCTACATTTAGAGAACTGGGACACCAAACTCTTGATCAAAGGCGCAACTCGAGCATCAAGTTGCAAGAAACTTTGGAGTCTGAAGAGGTGTTTCATCTCTAAAAAAATAAACCCATTTGTCTAGAAATGCCCCCTTTTCCTTGTAGGAGTAACAGCAATTAGGAATTTAACTCCATAGATGAAAAATCATGCAGGTAACTAGTCTGGTAAATATACACATATTACAAATATTTGTGTCTTATACTGGAATGTTGAAGAATGGGGAGAAATGGGAAATAATCTTTATCTTCACCTTTAAAAACAGAGGAGAAAAATTACGCCCAAGTCGGAAGACAGCTGTGGACAGAGATGGCTGGCTACAAGAATAATCAGAAAGCAAGATGAGTGCTGTATATAAATCTTTCCTTCCTACTGCCTCTCCTTGATTCTTTGCACTTCCTCCTAAGTAAAAAAGTTAAATAGACTATTTTGTTTAATTTTAATGAAATATGATTTCTGAGCTTTCCTCAAGAGCACACTATGAAAAGAAAATATCTACACAATACCACCTCAGAGATCTGGCTGACTGATTTCTGTCACAAATAGGCTTGCAAATCTTTGAGGACATAGCCTCTCACTATAAGATTTGGATAGTGAAAGCTGTAAATGGGAGAGTGTTGATAGGCTGGTATGTTTTAGGGTAGCCAAAAACCTTGAAGCTCTGATATTGTGAAAGGAATCAATGGATCCCTGGAATTTAAGGTTTTCTCAAGCCACCTCAAGAGTATGTGTATTTTGGCAGTCAGTAGGTTCTTGACACTAACAAATAAAAGAGTGCTTGGGTCACTGAGGAAAAACAGAAGATGGAAAATTGTTGATTTGACTGTATCTGGAGCCGATATAATCTCTTAAGCCCAACAAACAATCCAGTGAAGAAACAGATGTGTCTTCTTAGATCACATGTCTTTAGCCCTGAACTTGCAGGACCCTAGCTGTCCATGATGTGGACATGATGGTAGTTACGTTTGGACAAGAAAACAAGAAAGTAACAATGGGCATATGAAAAGGAATCTGCCATTTCCTATTTATACTGCAGATCTAGGAGACAGAGGCTGGCTGACACAGACAACCAGCAAGCTGGCAGTGTTAATGAGTACAGGCAGCAGAGAAGCACCACTAGAGAACCAAACATAAGCAAAATGACCTACAGACAAGTGTGAGCTACAGTGATTCTTGCAAAACAAATATAATTCATGGAGTAAGAAAAGAGTCTGAAATCCACATAAAGGCCATATGCCTTGATGGCATCTGCTTTACCAATTATCTCAAAGAAGCAGCAGATCCTGTCTCTCGGGCACTCAACTGATGCAGCGAATATGAGCTAGGGAGTCTGTTGTGCAAAAAAAAATGGGGCCAAGTGAGTGATACCAGGAACACAGGCATTTGAAGATCCAGCGTTTAGACCAGATCTGAGCAAAGAAAATGGTGCCAAGGAAGTGGCAGGAAAGGAGCCATGTGCTACACTGCAGAAACCAAAGGGCAGTAACAAACCACTCCATTTTCACCAGGCAGCTAAGAACAGAAAGGGTTTGGGACACCACTTCCCTCACACGCCCAAGTACTGAGCATGAATGTGACTGGGGTATACACAGTCATATTAGGGAACATATGTAAATCATCAGAAAAAGATCTAATCTGTATCCTAAAGCACCTACTTACTGAAGACATTTAAGCCTTAGCCTTGAACATACGTGCACTTAGATCTATAACATGTGAATTATTTTAGTATACCATTTCAAATGCTCTCCCCCTGCCTACCTAACTTGAAGATAAGCAGAACATACTCATTAGAAAATACAGCTATTTTCTTAGAGGATACAACTGAAAGTAAAACACAGCTTAAAAAAAATAATCAAGGAATTCATCAAGGAGTAAACTCAATTTGAATGTTACTTCCAATGTTCGAATGCCATTTATTATTTAAAACTGTTTTACCACATTTCAATATGTGAACATATATGGTAGTAAATTTCAAAAGATATATTTTAATTCACATTTGGTAAGTACTCTCATGTGACTGCATGAAGGGAGAAAACAGAGCACAAATCTATGCACATTTCCAAAAAAATTAAGAAAATTTTAGCTTTTGCTCTTCCAGTGACTGTTCTCTGCAATGTTGCTGATGCAGTGGAAAGACTTTTCACCTATTTTGAAGTAATTTATAAAAAACCCCCACCAACAAAAAACACTGAGAAAACAGAGCAGTGCATCAGAAACCTACACAAAGTCATTCAGGGTGCTAAGTTTGTTTGGTCTTCATGGTTTACTGTCAGCCAAAGGTAAGATGACAATCTAGGATTGTTAAACAAACAAGTCAGGAAAACCCCCTACAAATATATTTTTACTGTAGCTCTAAGTTGTACAATAAATAATATGAACTTTGTCTAAGCCACTTGTGATATGCATGGAGTCTAATATAACTAATGGCACAAAACTGAGAAATAACCAAATTAGGTCAGTTCTTTACAACATTAGGATAATCTGAATATCCTGGCAATTTTTCCCTTTTGAAGGGACCTAGACACAGACTAATGTGAAGGAACCTGACATATCCCACTATACCTATCCAAACACTGACTAATATTTACCAGTCAACAGGCTGTATTTCTACAGCTCAGCCTACACAGCACTGTAACTTCCTACTGCTGATCAAGCCACAAACTCCTTGTTAATGAGTGAGCTGCATCTCATTAATGAAATGTTTAATAAACGAGTTAACCAGTAGGTCAAAGAGTAAAACAAGCATTAGAAATTCACCCTAAACCTTTGAATACAATCTTTCAATTGGTGTATGAAAGCACATTAGGCATCCCAGCTCTCATATTCAATTCTCTTTTATTCCTAAGTCCTTTTCAAGTACTCTGTTAGAGCAAAAGGGACCTTCCAATGGGGGGCTGCTGCTATCTGTATAACAGATACAGCATAGTGAGCTGCTTAAGGGAAGTGAAAAATCAGCTGTCTGAAATATGTCTTTAAAAACCTATACAAAGCGAAAACGACCTCTTTTAAATAGAGGGATTTTCCCAGTTCTGGGTAAATTCCAGTTCAGGGTAAGCTATAACTAAAAATGTCCCTGAACAACAGCAACAGAATTTCAAACTAATTATTCAGGTTGAAAAGTGCCTAGTATAAAGACTGATAGCAATCTTTATCTCCCAGTTAAGACATGTATCTACAGAAATAATGGTAAAGCAGTGTGACATCATCTTATACAAGTTACACTTGCAACTTCTTAAAATCAAGTAATAGAGCCCTTCAGAATAAACAAATTCTTCAAAAGTAGATAAAGGAAATTTTCTAATAGACTCACTACAAGAAAGCAAATATATCTATTTTCATGCTAGATAGATTTAATCTTGACACACACCTATTTCAATTAAGGGCAAAGTAAGTTTCACTACCCAAAGTGAAATCCTTTCTGTAAGTGGTAACTCTGAATTCATTTGCTTGCTTGGGATGTTAAAACCACACATTCACTTTTCCTTTTTACAATGTAGATCTTTAAAAAAAGCTACCAGCTATATGAAATAAACTTATTTAATTTTAATAATACTCAAATTAGCCAAGGAAAAAAATATTTTTTAAACTTAAACACACCATCTTTTTTTATCAAAACCAGTAACTATTGCACAAGTGTTTAGCTAGTTTACAGTACCAACATATTAAAAAAAAAAAAAAAGCTAGAGATCATCCATTAAGTTGTGAAGCAAGAAAACATGAATCCAAATTGCTAAAACAAGTCAGGAAAACTGCAAACAGCTATCTACTTGCTTACAGTTGAATGCTATGGGAAACAATTCAAAATTCTAAGAATAATATTACCTACACTACACATAACAAATGCAGTTGCCCAGGGAAAGGTGGCATTTTTATTTCCATTACTTAAGCTCTTTCAGCTGCCCATAGCTTTGTCAAATGTCTACCATGCAACATTCTGCTCTTCTATCTCCTGCCCATCAAGACTTCAGTAAAAGTGTTGGGCTGTTTAAGAATGTGATTTAAAATGAAAGTGGGGTGGAAGAGATTTTACCATTTTAAGTGCCAAAGCACCTTACTTTAAGCTTTTTACCTGCATAGTTCTGTTTTCCACTGTTTTGGATGAAAAAGCCAAACATTTGCCTGAGGGTCCTTTATGCTGAAAATGTGCTCCTCTAGTCCCTTGGAAGAATCTTTACATTTGGTGAAGCTTTGGCAAAAATTTCAGTTTGCACATGTTCAAGAAAGATATCTGGAACTGGCAGCTGCATTTGTTAACAATTCTGTGTCTTGTGGGCTTTACAGTTTGAATAGAACCACCCCAGGGAATTTCTCCTTCCAGGAACTGCAGATTACTGTGGCACAAAGAAACTGAGTATACAGATACTGTTGGTATTGAACAAACACTTAACACCCACCATACAGGCTGACACGTGAGGGAAAGGAAAAAGAAAGGGATAAAATAGAAGCCAAACAATGGAAAGCCAGAACTGACAAGGAGCTGGAAGTCAAGAGAGTAAGAGCTCAAATAGAGTAGATGAATAGTAGCTGGATGATGCATGCAGAATGACATGGGTTATGAAGCCAAGGAACTAGAAAAGGTAAGAAAACTGGCCTGAGTAACTGGCTAAAGGAAAACAGAGGAAGGTGAAGAACTGTACACTGAAGACAAGGGTAGGTTTTGGGGCGAGCAACCATTGCAAAGTTTGGATAGAAACAACTCTCTTCCACAGAACCTATTTTGTCCACTTACGCATTTTATCAGAAAAAGGAACTGTGAAACACATTGGCCACACACTTCTTATCTTTCTCTTGTGGTCAGTACACCAAGAGGGTGGCAACCCAGCACAATGGATGACTGTTATCAAATGGCAGAGACTTGCTTACGTGCTGAAGGGTTCCCTATCACTGACAGACAGGCCTGTGGTGAAGAAGAGCTGCTTGCTGCACAAGTTGATAGGAAACTGCCAGAGTATGGATAGTCTCCCAGTAAAAGTAAGGAAACATTATCCTAGAAAAAAAGATTTTACTCCTGTCTGTATTCTAATTTCTTTGTGCTGGTAGGTACGGTTTAAGCCAAAACTTCTCAGACACAAAACTCCTTCTGAACTAATATCTGGTCACTTAATCTGCAATTCTGAATGCTTTCTCACAGCTGCAGGTGAAGCCATCCAGGCAACTGAAGGCCTATGTACCAATATATCAAGGTTTCCCAAGACGTACTCGGTGAGATGGGAACAGGAAATCCTCTTTTGATCAATCTCCCTTTGGCCCAGGACCTCATCTTTAAAAATAAGGCTATTGCCACCAATGGACTGCAAGATTATTCTGTATGTCAAATGTGCTTTTAAAATTTGAATAATAATAAATTAGAATTTAGAGCCAAACTTGCATCACTCTTTCTACTATTCTATCAATGGCTGTCCAGAAGAAGAATACTTCCTTTTAACTTCTCCTCAGATAACCTATACATTCCTTCTCATTTTTGAATGCTCTATTCAACAGGGAGTCAGGAAAGAATATGCAAAAAGCCCAAAGTATGAGGGAAAAGTTCCACCTCATGGGAACATGCTGCAAGATTCATTTTTTAAAAAGAAAAGTGCAGTTCTTGAAGAGAGGATACACCCTTCCTGACAGGGGCATGAGGCCAAATGTAGACTCTTATTAGATTCTGGACAGATTTAGTTACTCAAACTCCGGACAAAATGGAAGGCACTGGGACAAAAACAGATACTGTCATTTCAACTGACCTGGAGACCATTTTACTGTATCTACTTTCTTGTGATGCAAATCTACTTTTTGTAGGGTCTTTCTAGTCGCAATTGTAGTCCACAGCAAAATATTTATTATTAAAGAGCATTTCAAGTACTCATACCATTACTGTATCAACACATTTTTTGTGGAAGTAGTGTCCTGTACATCTCCACCCTAAAATTTGAACAAAATTTCTAAGCAAGAATATGTGAACATAGCATAGCAATAGTGACATTTTGCGTTTTTCAGGAGAGCAAAATTAAAGGTCACAAAGCTAACTAAGATAACACTGAACAGAAAGCAAGCAACAAGGTTCCTCAATGCTTGCTCTGGCCACTCTTTCACAACCAATACTTCACAGTATGCAGGGAGGAAGTCCAACAAGCATAAAATAACAATCACTCTTCAAACAACTCTTAGATTGGGGGTAAAACCTGTTTCAAAAGCAAAAGAGGAGAGGGAAAGGGTGCAGTTTCCTGGACTCCAGATAGGGCTTAAAAAATGTCTTGGCCTTATCAAAACTTGAAAGGCTCCACTGTGCAAAACTTCTCACCTCTTTCAGCTGATCAGCACTTCCCCATGATGCTGAGCGCTGATGTGATCTCTTTTCTGCTCCCTCCTCAGCCCAACAGCTGGGTGTCTAGAAGGGAAAAAAAAGAAAATACACTGTACTGAATTCTCCAGGTAAGAAAAACTTTGGCAAATTTACTGCTTTACTCTTTAGGCAGTGTCAGAGTTATGTGAATAAATTTCAGAATCTGATATGCAGCACTAATAATCTCAATAAATAAAAAGCAATATTAAAAAAGTTTTGTAAACTTGCATTTACAAAGGATGAGAACAATGCACATGAACCGAAGAAGAATTCAGAAGTCTGACAAAAAACCTTACCTGGCTGCTCCCACCTGTGGTTCGGCATCCGTGCCTACATTTCACTTAGTGGACATTTTAAGAAACCACACAATTAAAAAAAAGTGTGAAACAAACTCAAGCCAAGATTCACTTCTCCTACCTGTCATCTTCAACCACTGGACCACAGAACCAATCCCCTCTTGCTAACTGTGACTTGATAAGAGCTTGATACACCTTTTATTATTTTTGGGACCAACTTACATGAGCAGCACAGCAACAGGCAGGCCTTTTCCAGACATATCTCAAAGCCTTGAAGTCTGGGGACTGTCCTTAGATGTAGGAGCTAAAATGAAACCCCAAAGACTGAGAAGCATTAGAAAGCCCAAACTCTCAACTACTATGCTGATGTGCCACAAGGCTACTACGAAAATTGAGGTTATCCACCAAAATTCCTGAACAAGAGAGTCACAGGAACAATGGAAACATCCAAAATTCAGGAAGAGTTTGGGATACGAACTATATAAAACTCAGTGCTATATGCACATAAATATAAATTTGTTTATGTTGGGGTTTTTTTCCCCCCAACAACTCCTACTAGTATTAGCTGAATCCTTCACAGTTAAGTACACAAGAAATAAAACTGTACCGCTGAAAACAACAATTGTGGTTTTTAAGGGAGGGGACCACTGCCAACACTTCTTCTAGGGAGACAAAACCCCAGCCCACAGGACAAAGAGGATCTGGGATCCACACGCCTGTGGGACTTGTTCTCATGTGTTGAAATCCTCCTCCTCCACAGCTTTCCTCACTCTTGCTTCTATCTAGGATCTAGAAGCTTTTGTTGTACCCACATGGATAATGGAGACTGCTTGTTTGGCTCAGGAAGGAGGCTGGGCCCCACTCTGCAGAGCACCATCAAACCAACACCAACAGCTCCTCACTGCCCTGCAAAGGGAGCTGGCAGCAGCCCCCAGGGCCAGGCCAGCCATGGTACTATCAAGCTCAGAACTGTAACTTCAGAGCACGGGCTGCACCTTCATAACCACCACACTGCTGTGGTATTATAGAGCCTACAGCCCAGCACGTAACTCATCAGTGCTAATATTTAATGTATTCTGTATGCACAGGCCTACATAACACTCTTGTATTTTCTGCCAGCCCTGCACTTTCCACGGTTTTGGTGGGGCTTTTTCTCTGTTGTTTTTACACCACCAATAATGCTTCAACCCAAGGCCCAGCAAGCTGTGTGGGTGACTAGAAAGCAAAATGGAAAAAAAATTAGTCTTGAAGCTTTTCCTGCATGTCCCCAGAAAAGAAAAAATAAATCCTTATGAGAAAAGCTAAGAGTTCTGTGTATTTATTACATGACTCTCATGTAATACCCTCTTCTGTTTGGGTCTGGAGAAAAAAACAGAAGATAATGTGGTTATGAAAAAAAAGAATAAAATCAAAATGTAAAAAATTAAAACAGCTACTTAAAACTATGTGAAAGACAAGGCAGTTCCTCAGCCAGGAAGCACTTAACTCTCCTGGTCCAAAGCAGAGCCTCTGCCACATGCATGTGCTATCTGTGTCTGTACATCTGCTTGCTCTGCATTTTAACAGAGCCACCTTCTAAATAATAACTTGGTTTTGCAGACTGGGTACTTACTGTCTCCCTGAAATTTGTGTGGAAGACCTTCTGTTGGGTTTAAACGTTGGGTTTTTTAAAAACATTGAAATGGCTTGCAGATTTCTACTGAATTAGTGAATATGGGGACAATTTTTTACTTTTTCAAAATCATAGGCTTTCACAATCTGTTACAATTTACTTTGCAATTCAAATTGCTCTCACAATATTTTACTATATCCCAAGTACAGCTGGAACCATACCCCCACACAACAACAGTGTCTTCTGAATACAGCACTGCTCCACAATTTGGGGAACACCAGGATGAAGCAGAACCAGGCAGTTTGGGGGCTTAAATACTTACCTGTAGTGCAGAAGGGTATACCAGGAATCACTATAAGCTCATATCCTTTCACCTACAGCTTAATAAACTGAAAAGGTATCAACAATCTAAAAACTCAAAGTGACTGTCTCAATAAAGAGAAGTACACTGTTAAAAAACAAAACAAGTATGTAGAACACACAAGCCTGGTTGTATATTTAATAAACAAAGATATTGATCCAGATAGCAAGGACAAAACCCAAACTAAGATCAACCCCTGAAGACCTTCATCAACAATACCAGTGGCTTTTACGAGAGAGATGTGAGAATCCTTATAGTGCAGAGTATTTACTCAGAAGTCAAAAATAAAAATCAGAAAATATCTATTCACTTAATACTAGATTTTGTACTTGTTCAAGAATGCTTTTACATTCTTTCACTCAAATAGTATCTCCCTTAAGACAAGGACTACATGGATGCTTTCAGCCCCTGGTAAACTAAGTCAAGATACAACCCTGCAAAGTATACATACACAGTATACAGTGAGGAGACTATTAGTGATCTCCAGTTTTACCTGCAGTATTAGATTGCAGACATTTTATGATGTTCCTAGCACAGTAATGAAGTCAAGTGTTATATTTATGTGGTATTTAGAGGCAAACTTTAAAAAGAAAAAGCTTTATAAAAATAATACAACATAAGCACTTACTAGAATATTATTGCAAGTCTTCTTGAAACTTTGAAAATTGCTGCTTGCAATATGTTGTAATCCACATTATATGAAGGATAATTTTAGGTTTGTAATGTCAATGTTATGTATTGTCATGTATTCAAGCAAAAGCTTTTAAAAAACAAACAGAAGTGCCCCCACACCTGTTGCATTCAAGTGGAAATTCTCCTTTTCTAACTTTAGCTTATGTATGAAGACCTCACTTAAATGCTGTCATTTAGATCACAAGTAAGATGGAGGTATGTAGCACCCACAAGCTGTCACATTTCATGGAAATAGTTTTCTCATCTTATTTACAACTTCCACAAAACAGGCTTATCAATGGAAGCCTTCATTTGAAGCTGAAAATGCACTTCTGAAGTGTTAAACATACGAAAGAAAATAATATCAAAGCCAGAACGTAATTCGGAATTGTATTAGAAGAAAAATTTCTGAAACACAAACAAAACAACAGTTACTGTGCTTCAAGTCAGAGAGAAAGAGTACCTCTCACAGTAAGAGACATCAGGCACTATCTCTGAAACTGGTAACATTCAGAGCATCACAGAAGTCATATACTGACCTTCATGAAAAAGGATTAGTCTGCAAGGTCATATCAAGAAACTAAGATTTTAGGGGGAGATCCTTGAAAACATTAGATAATGCTGCACCTGCAAGACATGGATCCCTTGTTTTCAAGATGTTAAGGTTTGTGGTCCATTTCAGCTGACACATGGGATAGGACACGCTCAGAATACAACATCTGTTTGCATTCTTCAGTCTTCACATAAATCACAATTGCCTTAGTTCTAACTTACCCAGCCTTGTAGAGATCAACACGTTTGGTAATCCTGACTTGCTTTTCCATCCATGCCAGGGACATACACCTACATTTTTTCCACTTAGATCAGAATGACTGCATAGCATACCAACCTACTTAAACCTAAAATAAGACTGTATTACCTTAAATATCTCCCATTTGTTGCCAGCCCTTTACTCTAATTACTACATCCGGCCTGCATTCTGGAACATCTACATTATGTGTATGCTTTACAAGGGAAGCAATGAGCTTTTGAAGAACTTTCCACATTCAAAAGAAACCAAATAGCAGCACTAGAAGATAAAAACTGATGGGTTTTCAGGTATTTCTAAAGCATTCAAAGGCCATCTAGAAACTTTAGAAAGAGAAACTACTTAAGGAGTTAGAAGTCAATTTCACTATAGATGATGACTCTTAAACAGACAGGTTAAATAAAGTTAGAATGACAAATTCACACTCTATGACACATATCATATTCCCTGTCCTTTCTGACAATATACATCACTAAAATATCCCATAAAATCAATTACAACTAACACACACACAAAAAAAAAAAAAAAAAAAAAAAAAAAAAAAAAAAAAGCTTCATGGAATTGAGCCTCTTTGTTTATGACTTAATTTTACAGAAAAAAAATCTACCCAGAAGAAAAAAAAAAACAAGTGTCTAATGAGAGCTAGCTACGTTAAAGCCTTGACCTACCTATAAGAAAAACACAGCCTAGAAACTCTGCACTATTCTCTAGGTAAGAGAAAAATAAAAATTCTGAAAGGCATTTGGCAAACTTTCTTCAGTTGCATTTGTTCCATACCTAATTCCACATACAATGAGAAAAACTGGATTCCAATATTGCTGGATATGCCTAAATCATCAGTTGGAAATCACTGTATAATAAAAATGCCACTAGGCCATTTGTTCGTTTCTTTGTATTATTTAGACTGAGAAAGACTACATGGCAAACTAACTGGCAATACTTTTGTTATGAAATCAACATCACGTTTCTTTTTAATCTCTCCTTTTTAGTTTTATAAAAATCTTTTAAATTACTTAGCTACTGCCAAATAATTATATTTACCAACTCGGATAATCATCCAAATGTTTCTGAAGATTCCAAGGTTAGACACGGCCTTTACAACATGAGTTGTTCTTTACACTATGAAGGGGGAAAGACTTAAATGATGAAGCATCAAGAAGTGGTGTACAAAATTGTTCCATCAGTGCTCCCAAGAGACAGAAAAAATGGGGAAAGAAGTTATATTGAGTTTTAAATGGCCTTCAAAAAAGTTCAGATAAGGAGAGGAAAGTAGGACAATGGATGAACTCAGGAAGGGGATCACAAAGTATATCAACACAAGTAACTTCCTATAATAGGAAATTTACCTGCATTTCTGAAATACTTAAAACACTACTAAATAAAATTGCATACCTCTGATTATCCAAAACGTGCTGCTCCTTAAAGATCAGCTAGTTGTATGCATATGCACACATATACACACAAACATACATACAGAATTCTGAGAAACACTGAATTGTGCAAACACCACAATGCAGTGTTAGAGTGTATTTTTCCAAAACCAAACAATCACCTCACTTCTCTTCTGCATTTTCAGTCAAAACACTTGGGGCAAGTAAGAGGCACAAAGAAGTAAGAACTGTAGTTCCTATTCTCCAAGACACGAGAGAAACTAAACCAAACAAAATTCTGCTCCCTCCCTTCTATTATTATGAAGAAACATTTTGTTCACGAGTATTATATACAAGTTGAAAGAATTTAAGTGGAAACAAGGACTTGGAATAAAGCTCATTAAAGGTTCATCTGACCACCATGAAGATGAAAAACCCCCTTTTTTTAAAAAAAAAGAATTCTAAGAAACTTGGAACAACCATAATCACCACCTCAACCAAACAGCACAAAATTTGGATTTTAGATTAACATTTAATTAGGAACAAAATATACCCTTGAAAGAGAAATAATTATTCCACCTACAATGTAAGTTATACTGACAGCATTGTTCAAGAATTTAGAAGTAAAATAAGAGATAATTTTTTCTCCAATTAAACATACTCATACAGAAAAATCATTTATTGATTTTCATTAACTTCTTTTTATTTAACTTAATTTGCTATGCATGAATCCTATCAACAACTTGGAACTCATCCTTAGTTCTTGAAATGAGATATACTTCAAACTACACAGAGCTCAAACAACAAAATCCCAGACACACACCAAAACATATGACAAGCCTCCCTAGCGAGCATTTTATTTGGGGGTAAAAAACAAACAAAAACCACCAAACAAAAAAAGCCCTCCAACTGGAAATCACTATCAAGGCGTATCAATACACTTGTTCCATTTTACATATTCATAGTCCCAAAGTAGTGACTCAACCTAAGCACTGATAAATGTTCGAGTCTGGCACCATTTGAATAAAAAGTCAGCTGATATAATTCCTTGCTGGAAGATATCCACAAATGCAAACCTTCAGATCTCCCTGCTCCTACCCCTTTGAAATAATACTTCATTGCGCTTTTCCTATCTTTTACTCTTGATTATGCTGAAAAGGTAAAACTCCATTTTTAGTTTCTGAATGAGGTAAAGGGAGACAGCCGAACATTCACATAACCTGAACACTTACTTGAGCTCACTAGGAAAGCAATTTTACTGCCAAATACTTGGAGCTCAAATATTTATAGAATAGTTTGTTTATCTTTTCCGTAACCAGTTAAAAGCTTTGTTTGTGAATGTTTAAATACTCTAAATTTTCTATTCATAAGGGTATTTGTAAAGTTTGATATGGATATGTATTTTGAGAGAGTGGTTAGGAAATACAGTAACTACAAAGCATGCTACTGAAAATCTCCTGAATGGAAATTATGCTTTCAAAACACAAAAACCTTAAAGTCATAGAACTGTGAAATGAAGGCATCTTGAAAATAAATCCAGGCTTAAGCACTTTTTAGGTAGATCTTTTGTGATAGTAAATATGACTGCTGTTTTTTGGCTAAAACTGTCTCATTTCAAAATAAGCAGGATATGAAGACAGCCTTTTCCAAAGGGTCCTCATTACAGTTTCTAAAAATTTTCTTGGAACATTTTAATCATCAGTTTCTCAAATTCATTAAATAAGACTCCTGAAACATACAGACCCTTTTTTTATTTTTAATTCTCTAAGCATTCTGTGCTTATCTTTACCCAATCAAAGGGCTTCCTGTGTTGCATGACACCATATTTTAGAGATGACGAAACTTCTATATACATTCTAACTTGTCCTGAAAAACTCAGTCTTACACAGAAGACTATAATCATAGAATCTATTTCAAGACCCATGATAACTATGGATCAGAATCATGGCACAAGAAATAAGCAACTGATTTAACAACCAAACCTACATGGCCTGTTAGTTTGAAAATATAACAGAAAGCTAGTTTCTTCTAGTTTCCAATTCAGATTGGAAGACAAACTCAGATGGCTTATTCCAAACCCCAAAAGCACTACTGAAAAAAACAAGAATGCAGCTCCTTTGATAATAACTGGGGAGGGGTACAATACATACAATTATGTATTTTTAATATGTTTGACAATGATCATCTTTGTGGGCAACAAGCTCCAGCACAAAGAGGAAGCAGGCAAGAAAGAACATTCACCTTTCTAGTCAGAGCACTGGAGCAGTAGAATGCCCCAGCAGACTGCCAGAGGGTCCTGCTAAGGACAGACCCCTAAAGAGAATCTAAGGCTATCACAAGAGTATCAGGCCATGAATAATCTCAGTGGCCTTCCCTCAGCCCCACACACACAGAGTTTTTTGAAACTGACAGATTTATTACAATGATTTAGCAAAATCTTTAGTTTGTTAGCTACTGCTATACAGACTCCTTTTCTTAAGTAACAGCACAATTTTGAATATAGCAGCTTCAAAATAAACCAGATAAAAGGCTGAGATTGATATCTGCTTATTTAGCCTCAATAGATCTGCCCACAATGAGAAAATTATTTTTAACAACTGTTTTCTAAAAGCATAAAAATATTATCGTCGCATACCATGTTACTGCATTAGCACCAATTAAAAAAAGACTACTGTAACTTATTTTAGGGTTTCATATCTAATAAAGTGAATCCACATTTGTTCAGAATTAAATTGAGTAGACATCAATTATATGAAACATCTTTGTTGTCTTGTTTTACAGCTTTTACCTGAGTAGATTTATCTTTCATACATGAAGGGTAGTGTACATGGGGATCACGTGGCCACTGTCCTGTGAGGTAAGGTCCTGTTATTGTGTCCAAAGAAGAAGTTCGCCTTATGGTACCAGAAGTTCTGATTTGCTGGGATTTTGGCCTGTCCACTGTAGAAAACCAGAACAAAATCAACAATAAAGTCAGGCTAAATTTGACGTGAAATGTTAAAAGCTAGCTATGACACATAACGGCAAGAACATATCAGAAATATGTTTTGTCTAAATGCCAAGGTGAAAAGAATGCCATCACATCAAAGCAAAAATACGTAAGACAAAAGAGAAAAACAAATAGAAAAGGGAAAATTTAACAGTTACAAAAACCCCAATGCTTCAGGTATTCATACCTGCAAAGAGCTGGGCTACTTATGCTATGTATTTACATCAGCAAAAAACATCAAGCAAATTTAAATACAGTGATGATGCAACTGAGGAAAGTCAGACATGCAGAAATAGAAAATACAGCATAGCACTTTTGAAGTCAGCTTGCTCAGCCTTCTAAATACTAAAATACAAATCATGGCATAAATTGTGGTTGTTAAGAGGACACATATCCACTTTATTCTCTTTTCCATATTATTTCATAATTTAAATCAATTTCATATTATTTACAAGATCCCACTGCAGGCCTCAGCAAGCTGAGAGTGCGACTCCAACCAGAGCACCTGCCTTGTTTGCTTTCATTCATCATTGTGCCTGCAGTCCTTAACTCCTCCCTGTACTTCTCTCACCATACACCCAGATCATGGAACACTTTTTCTTGCATTTCATTTGGAGAGCAAAGTGCAGGGTGATTCACGAGATTGATGTGGGAAAGAAGGGTTTTACGGCATGCTCTCTGGATTGTCTTTGCTTTGTTCTTCAGGCAAAATTACTTCATATACTCATTTTCTAGACTTCACATTAGCCAACCTAAGCCCTACAAGGCAGCTACTGTCTGTTTCACTCATCCCTACTAAAAGGAATTCACAAGTGAGATAACTTCCAAGTTAGTCACGTGCTATGCACTGATCTGACCCACCTAAAGCCTACTCACTGCTCAGAATGTGAGAGCAGACTTGCTGGCAGACTTCCGAGTCCAAACATGGCCACTGGCCTCCACAAGTATTTTCTATTTGTGTATCACCTAGAACTGATGGATCTCTAAAGGCAGAGTCCATCATCAATGTGATTTACAGCATTCAGTACAATTAGGCTATAGCTTGCACTAATACAGTATGGTTATAGTACGATATATGAAGACAATAATGATAAAACAGACCATTTTACACAAATATAGACCTGATGAAACACTGCATTAGCTACCCATTTTAGGTGAAGAGTCTTAAATAATGCTGTGAATTGGACATGACATAATATATCATGCTGCCTTTCATACTATAATTATTTTCACTGCCATATCTATAAATCAAATCCCTACTATTTCAAACAGATCCATCCTTATAGGATTCCAATTGTGACAAATCTGCATTTTAAGAAAGATCCTTGAACTATTAAAAGAAGCCTGAAATCCAAAACAGAGATGACAAATTTTAAAAATTAAACTAGTGTTTACATTTGCATGGAAACACAAGTGTACCTCATGGGTAAATGGCTACAAAGAATTCCTCCAACCTTCCCTGTCATGCTATGGCACTATGCTACTCTCTCAACCCAAGTTTTGGAAGTTCCTCAAAAAACACCTTTTAAAACAAGTCAGAAGCAATGCTCAAGACAATATTTGAAGACGATGAAGTAATGACTAATCCCAAGAAAACACAAGCCCAAATTACACAACAAAATATATACAACCAGACAATTAGCTGAAGTTGTAACTTGTTCTACACCCAGGGGAAAGGCAACAGAAATCCCAACATTAGTAACTAAAATGATACCATTAAAACTGAAGAGAAACAAAAACCACCAAAAATTACTAGTTCTGTTTTTCCACAGGCACCTTGGAAGTGGACTGCAAGACACTGTCAAGCCTTAAAGCTGAGAGAAGAAAAAGTTCAATATGTGGTTTCCAAATCACATTCATCAATGTTTCTCTGAATTCCAGGAAACAAACAACTTCTCAACTACATAAACCAATTCAAGTTAACACTAGTTTAATGTCATCCCTATTTCACCTCTGTGCTCCTTCCATCTCTTTTGAGATGGATTTAATGCCATCCCTATTCCACCATACCTGCGCTCCTTCCATCTTCTTTGAGATGGCATGCATAGATGTGTGAATCCACTTGGCAAAATAATTCACTGAATTAAACAAAATGAAAACTAAAGTGCAACCCCATAAAGTCATAAACAGAGGGTTTTCCCCATTACGGCAGAATTGGCACAACGTAAGGGGCAAAAACCACCAGGAGTGCTAGAACAGTAGCAGCCCTGTGGCCTGTTCAGTAACAGTTTTGGCTCCTCATCTTTTATGATGCATTATTAGATCGTAAAAAATGAAGGAGAAGGGCTCTATAAGCACGACATTTGAAGGAACTTCTGCAAATTAGCATTTGACAAAGTGTCATGTACAGTAATGTACTCAAACATGATGGGATGCCCTGGAGAGCATCACTGGACTGGACCCCAACAGTGGCAGATCAGATCAGTTTAAATATCAGAACTGCTCTCAGGGTTTATTTCTTGCTTTTCTCACTTCATCATATGTCTGGATTCCCACTACTCTAGGGAGCTACTATATAACACTTCTTCCCAAATTTTCATTATCAATGAGATATTGATGCTACTATCATGAATATCCTTCCCCAGCCCAAATCTCGCTGGCTGGAAACCTCATGCTCCAGTTTTCTCTGAGAATCAAAATACCTGAAGTGCTTCAACAGCTCCTGAAGATAGCTGTCAGACTTCAGCATTCAGAAAGGCTTCAACAATATTAAGAAATCTGTAAAGTTATAGACTGATTTTATCCAAGTTTCACACTAAAACGCATCTGACACTATCCTCTGCAAGTATGAATGGATTTTACTGCAGTGCTAAATCAAAGGATTCTGTTGTCTTAGTCAGTGACAAGCGAGACATCTCATATGAAACTAAGCTCTACCTCCAGAATAAGCAAACTTAAGATCACAGCATATAAGCAGTGTAACACTACCTGAGGAAGTTATCTAGAAATTAGAAAAGCAAGACATACACTTGCAGCAAGGCAAGATACCTCATGACCACCGAGGTTGGCTTGGTTGAGCATGACAATAATAATGCCCAGGTTGTGGGTTTGATCCCTGTATTGGCTGTTCTCTTAAGGGTGGGACTCGATGATCCTTGTGAGTCCCTTCCAACTCAGAATATCCTGTGATTTTATGTGTTATTTAAAATGTGCAACAAGTTTTAATGGCATGTATTTAGGACAAATTGCTACACCATTCTAGTTACAAATGTTACACAAAATGTCACAAAGGTCCACCTGAATACTACAGCTGGCAAAATTCGGCATGATCATACCTCCCAGCAGGAATCAACTAAAATAACCTGCATGAAATCACGATTCTGCATGCTGCATTGAGAGCAAAGAGAATTCTAGTTATACCACCTAGACTGACTGAAAAAGGGGTTTTTTTCTGACAGTTTTTTCTCTGACAGCAAGAGCCTAACACAACAGCTCTTTTGAAAGGGACATGGGGCTCAAATAAAACCATCTGCTGCAGCTCTAAAATGAAGAGCTTGCCTTCCCATCTAGGATAGAGGCAGCTAACCTGCACATAATCTGAAAGCCATGTTCACAGTCCATTTTTAGCTTAAATAGCTTTGTGCCACATGTGCAATGAGGAAAATCACCTGCAACAGAACAGCAAGACTGATAGCTAGCACTGCTAATACTAAAAAAACTGGTTTAGCTCAATCCACCAGAGCTCATCTGTCAACATCTTCTCTTCCCATGTTTCTTTCAACAGCTAGCAAATCCAGTTAAAATTTGGGCAGAACTTTTCCATTCACATACTCGCATAGATATAACTGATTTTGAAGGACTTAAATTATCCTAAGAATGTCAGACAGCACCAACTCCTCTCAAACTGACTGAAAAACATGAAATAAAAATAAAATTCATTGTTCTCCAAAACTAGGAGTATTAATGTTGTCACCTCATTATTGATGTCAGCTAATCATGACACTGTGCTGTCAAAAGGTTCGACAACATTCTTGATTTCTTTTCTCTACAGTTCTTCTTAAACTAATAACTCGAGACACCATGAAATATCAGTACTAAATTCCACAATAAATTTCTATTGAGATGTCATTTCTTTCTAGTTTAGTTGCTAGCACCCTGCACAACCTTTTGGTCACCAGCTACTAGTGAAATGAGTCCCAAGCTTAGGACTCATCCATTCCTAAAGAATTTCAGATTTTATCTAGGAAATAAATACCAACTCCAAAAGCATTTTCTCCAAAAATACTCTTGGGAAGACTCCCTCTGATGGATATCCTAGTCTGCTTAAGGCTATTTTCAAGAGCCACGAAGTCAGAGTTCAAACAGTCTGGCCCAAAGGATATTCAGAGACTGCATATACCACCATAAAATAGCATCAAATATTTCTAGGACATTCCTACCAGATATGACAGCAAATTTACAACAATCTACTAACCCAATGAGATGCAGAAGTGTCTGTGTGAATGCTTCTTAAATAATGAATTATGTGGGAATGCAGTTTAGGATGAAAAACTAGAAATGAAAAGCTGAATATGAAGGAATGGTGGCCCACAGTGACCCATAAGAATGATGGCCTGACATCACTTAGGTCACATTTCCCACAGCAGCTACTGATGACTGTCCTTCACCTACTTAAAAGTCCTCTCTCCTGTTACACCTCGTAAAAGCATGAAAAAGGGATACCTTTTCTCTTGCTTACTTTGGACAGTGACTGCCTGAGTACCAAAAAAGCAGACTTCTGGATTCAAGAGGACTCCGTCTCTGAAGAGTCTGGTCAAGGGAGGTTTTTTTTTATTTTTTTGTTTGCTTTTTAAGCAAGTATATAATGACACTGTACTGATACCTGAATGTGTATCTGATTAGTCTTTCCTGCTCTGATTATGTAGGTAGACGGTCGAACTGGTGCACGTTTAATTTGCAGAACTTGTCTCTATGACTTTGCCAGGAAAAAGACTGAATAATGGGGATTTAG